ATATTGTGTGTGTGTGTGTGTGTGTGTGTGTGTGTGTGTGTGTGTGTGTGTGTGTGTGTGTGTGTTTATCAGCTTGCAAGAGCCAAAGTCAAGAAGCCCAAGACTTTCTGGATGAGCTGAAGCTGGCAGTGGCCTGGAACAGAGTGGACATTGCAAAGAGTGACATTTTTAATGGAGATGTGGAGTGGAAGGTGAGACACAAGGATCTGATCAAGGTTTGACAAATTTTGGTAATTAACCTCCTAGGACCGGCCGTCCACTTATGTGGACATCACATTTTGGGTTATTTAGACCAAAATACTCAATTCTGCTCTACATGGGCCTGATATCCACATTATACTGCTACTGTTCTATCAAAATTTAAAATGAATATCCTCATTTGTGGCTCTCACTTTTCTTAAAAACAAAAATGAGGTAAAAAAAAAAAAATCTGGTAATTCTTTGTTTTTACATTCATCGGGCCCCAATATGCCCAAATATCAAAGAGAAATTAAAAATGCATGTCGTGGAAGAGTTCGGGTCTTAGGAGGTTAAACCTGGCGTGCCTGCTAAAGCAACATTAAAAGGGAGTGGGAATTTTTCGAGTACAATCAGTGAGAGTCTGGGCTATTTAAGGTAATTAAAACAAAAGCTAGCCCAGTTGTGAATATGCTAGTATTCTAATATGCTCACAATGATATCAATAATATATTTTATCAGATATAATATTTTTCATTATCACTATTATAGCCAAATGTGCTGGTTTCATAGTCTGTATATAAAAGATGGATGCAGCTAGCGTGACATTGCCCACTGATTTGTGGACTTCTATTTTGAAGGCTGAAGCCTGACATTTTGGCAGTTGCCATGTTTTGCTGACATGAGATGTCATGACTGAAAAGTGGAGACTGAGTGAGAAACCCATGATAACTGCACATAGACAGGCAGCAACAGTCCGAATTATACCCTGCTTTGTCATCTATTTTTGTCTAAATAAAAGCAAAATGTACAAACTGCGCACCATTCTCTGCTAGATATGATTTAAAAGTAGTGAATGACACCATGAAATCATCATTATAGTGTTCACTGAGATCATAAATAAAGTGGAAAGTTGGGTTGTTTTTTATACATCTTTATACAATCTGACCTCTTTTTGCAACCAGCCCACGCCCTCTACTGGCCGTTAGGAAGAAGGCAGGATTTGAAAGAATTTAAGAACCAAAGAAAAAAGTTTTGACACACTTCTCTGCTGGAATTCAAACCTAGAGGCTATGTCCACCTTTTTTGTAGAGGCTGTTATCATTTTGATATATTAGCCTGCTAACATTGCCTAATTAATAGATGTTAGCAATTAACACCAACCTCAAAGCACCAGCTGTGCCAGTAGAATTCACCTTCAGAGGATCATGGATGTGTGTGCAAAATTACACAGCAGACCACCTAATAGCTACACTCTTAGACCTCTACAGAGCTTGTTTTTAAAGCTGTTTAGCATGTGCAATTTGCAATATTCACATTTGGATTAAATCTGCAAGAAAGGGATTTATATGAATAGTATTATAGTAATAACAATAAGAGTACCAATCAAGACTGGTAAGGCTCTTCATAATAACAGAAAAGAATATTTTTACAGCTGTGAAGAAGAGAGGTCATGAGTGAGTCACTGTAATAAGTCTACTGATCTTTGCAGGCTTGTGATCTTGAAGAGGTGATGATGGATGCACTGATCAATGACAAGCCAGACTTTGTGCGCCTTTTCGTGGACAATGGCGTGAACCTGGGAGAGTTCCTTACCTATGGCCGTCTTCAGGAGCTTTACTGGTCTGTCTCAGAGAAAAGCCTCCTTCACAACCTGCTCCTCAAAAAGTACGAGGAGAAGCAGCTTCTGCTCGGAGCTGCCAGGACACATGGTCCACCCGGGCACCATCCTTCCGAGCAAGGAGACCGAAAACCCCGCTTCACCCTCTATGAGGTCGCCAAAGTGCTGAAAGACTTTCTCCACGACTCTTGTAAAGGCTTTTACCAGAAGACTCCCACGGTAGGTGATGTACTCTTCTTTGAAAGTTCCAAACAAGCAATATGTTGTCTGTGTTAGGTTTCTCATCCCTTTTGGTCTGTCAACTTAAAATGAAGCAGTGTCTCTGTGAAACCACATAAAGGTTTGCATTCATCTATGAGATGTGAGCAGCGAGTGAGAGAGTTTACCTCTAACCTTCTCAGGCAGCTATATTCGCAACATTTAAGCGCCTGAAAGATGCAATGAACCAGAAAATATATAGACTTTGTGGTAAACTGACTTCCCGGAAGACAGTGAATCTTTAATGGTGACTTTAATAGCAACTCATCCTACCTACACTAATAGCAGAAAAAAACATCAAATCTACCCAATAAAGCCAAAGTGCTCTTTTCAGGGCAGCCAGCCCTTTTGTTACTCCTATCACATCATCATTTTTTTCTCTCTAACTGCAGCAAAAAAGAGATGGATCATCGTGGAAAATCACACCTGCTGCTGCACTCTAAAAATCCCTATATTTTCTCTAATTATGCTGTCAGGTTTTGTGCTACTCACTGTTGTAAGGCTGGTTGTCTCAAAGAAAAACACAGCCACAGTCAAATGTTTTCTTGGCTGAAGGTCTGCTTGGCTAAATTCATTACATATTCCAGTTGACAACCAAGCAGCTATGACTTCTTTACAGCGGAGCGAGGGAAATTGGTTTTGCGGTAAAAGGACTGTCGTAGATTGACTTATGTAAGCACTGCCTGTTCTGTAAACTGTGTGCGGCTGCCTCATCTACTATACATATTAAATACATTAAGCGTTCTCTCTGTGTGCTCCAGGAGAAGCCAGCAAAGGGTCGACTGTTCCACACCCAGAAGAATCTGGCTGAGTTAGAGGAGCGCTGCGAGCATCCTTGGCGAGATCTCTTCCTCTGGGCGGCCCTTCAGAACCGGCAGCAGATGGCTAACTACTTTTGGGCCATGGTCAGTCTTGTCAGCTTCTTTAGTCGGTTGAGCTACAGCTCGTACTATCTCAGCACTGTGCGGCTCGATAAATAACTAAATGTGCCTGGCTTTGGAAAATTCTACTCAAAGCAAAGTGAAGTGAGCAGAATTATGCTGTGATAGTTTGCGTTCTGCTTTGGGTGTGATGAGCGATGCGGGCCAGCCCAGTGCAGGTGTAGGTCAGTCCTGCCATATGAAAATGTCACTCGAGATAAAAAATAAAAAAAAAGAGCCCGGCAAACGGCGTATTTATCAAGAACTGAGGTGAACTAAAAAGCTATCTTATCTCCAAGAACATTATTCAAATGAAGGTCAGGCTGCTTGCTGAGGCAGCCAACCAGCGGTGAGCCAGCGCATGCGTGTCTAACGTCCTGATGAAGGTAATGAGACATATAGGCCGACAAGGGATTGATGTCCCACGAATAGTTTAAATGACACTCATCAATGATAATTGCTCTTTGTTTTCAACGTCTTTTCAAAGCACCTTTCATTTCTTCATTGCCATTCCCTGAACTGAGGCAACCAATTGTTGTAATCTCACACGCGGTCATCATTATGTGCTCTTTTCCAACGTCTTATATTTCAAACATTATCTGAAATTATGGTAATTGCGTTCAGTGTGTGCCCATCCCCCACCTCTAGCGCCTCAGCACTCAGGCTCTGGCCTGGACTCTGGCATTCGTAATTTGATTGTTTGAAGTATTTCCCACGTTGAAGGCGACAATTATTCTTGCAGGCTAGCAAAATCTCACATATTTATTATGTGCATATACAGTATGTCGACCCAGGAGCGTGAAGAAAATGCAGCATAATCAACACAAATCATTGATCCTTTAAACAAAAATGGGAAGAGCCCTCTGCTGCAATATGCTGCTCTTCCTCACAGTCCAGTGCATGAGTATTAGCATTACTGGTGACTTTAAACGGACCATAGATCTGCTTGTAAGCATGAATATTTCTTGAACAGCTCATAAATATGTCTTTTCGTTAACCCTGGACTGATGTTCCATCCAGCATCTACCCAGCCTTCCAACCATTGTCAGCCTATTATACTCCAAGCTATCAAAGCCCTAGTTGGATAAGTGGTTAAGAAAAGAGTGAATCTGGCTGTTATATATATGTAATACTTGCTTTCCTTGTCTTCCCAAGACCTGTAAGAAGTTAGAAAATGTCCATTTTTATATGTACAACAGACAGGTTTATAATGTCAGCTATATATAGATATGTTGTAAAGAATCTTTCAGTTCATGAAACATTCAGGGAAACTATCTTGCCACACTGTGAAAACAGTCATTCTTTATTTATACTTTACACAATCCATGCAGTTCATATACAACCTAAAGCAAGCAGCTTCCTTCTGGGTTATTCAATAGATCAAACTACAGAGACTGAAAATAAAACAACCATTCAAATATGCCTTACATTCAAGGTCAGATGGTTAAAGCCCTTCAAGAGCCTGCTATCATACCCAAACTGGCTGACTAGTTATTTTGGCCGATAACAACGGTGTCGCACGACATGTAAGGAAGTGCCTTTGAATGCAGGCTTTAGAAATCACAGGGGGGAAAAAAACCTACAAGTTGTATCTGTAGTAGCCCCATGCACACAATAGAAGCATTTAGATGCAAAAGATGCAGCTCTCAAAAATTCAAATCCCCCTTTCAGACCCATTTCTTGGATACAGCTCTCTTGTAATCTTTCAGGGCCCTGAGGCGGTTGCGGCAGCCCTGGCGGGTTGTAAGATTCTGAAAGAGATGGCACGACTGGAATCCGAGGCTGAGTCCGCACGTAGCATGAAGGAGGCCAAGTATGAGCAGTTTGCCCTTGGTGAGTACATAAACTGTTTAATGACAGGAGCTGATAATGCAATGGTCAAACATAGCAAGAGGTAAAACCTCTAACTTCAAGCCAGCAGTGTTTTGCTTTGCTTTTTTTTGTTATCCACAAGCACAAACAGATTCCACTTGAGGGACTAAAATATAAATCTGGATGTAATCTAACTGAGCGGTTGACACTGTGTAACTACTGTTCTTATTGTGGCAGATGTCTTTGGAGAGTGTTACTCCAACAGTGAAGACAGGGCTTATGCTTTGTTAGTGAGGAGAACACACTGCTGGAGCAAATCTACAGTCCTTAACTTGGCAACTGAGGCAGATGCCAAATCCTTCTTTGCCCACGACGGAGTTCAGGTGACAAGAAGACACATGCGGTGCTCCGTTTTAAAATTTATACGTTTCATCCTACAGATTAAGTATTGGGAAGCCGACAGATAAGTCTGGTTCTTTGCCACCATCTCTGCTGATATACTGGGTTTCCATGGCAGTTATTAAACATTTCCCTCTGCACTGTATGCCATTAGATACTTAGAAGCCACTTTATGCACAGTTTTGTCTAAATATGCCTCCAACAGATGCCCTTGCTATTAGAAAGTCATCAGTGAGAGTTAATTGGTATTCAGTGTCAGTAGGGAAGGTTAGCACATGGGAATGATATATTTTATTCATAGCACACAGTCGGAATTACCTTTTTAATGGGATGCCGTTAATTACAATCCAGTACATGTGTAATGTTTCAAAGAGAAAGTGGGTTTCCCTGGTCTCAGGCAAAGTAGCTGCTGGTTAATGAAATGGTTCGACTGGGGGAGAAGCATTTTGATTTTGATTTTTTTTTCTGTCTGTCTATCTGAGATAACTCCACATATGTTTCTTCTGTGAATATGGGCTCCAAGCTGCAAAGTAGAAATTTTGTAAGGCCTCTGGTGCCCCCTTGTGGTAACCTGAATTTACACACTCTGCTAGTTTGCCAATGTTGTATGAGAAACTGATTCTGTTCTGCAGGCTCTGCTCACAAAGATTTGGTGGGGGTCTATGAAAACAGACACAGCCATCTCCAAACTCGTGGCGTCTTTCTTCTGTGCACCGCTCATATGGACCAACCTCATAAAGTTCAGGTGATCAGTCTGTTGATGAACTCCACCTTTTGTCTTTGCCATGCTGATGAGCTCTGTGTCACTCGGTTGTGTGCATTATCTGGGTTTTGGGGTTTTCTTTTCAGTGATGAAGAACTTGACAATCGTAATGCTGGCAAGCAGTTTGTGGAGCTGGACAGTCTGGACACAGAAAAGGCTTTACTTCTAAGCGATGATGATGATGACCCTCTGTGAGTTTGCTCTCTTGTTTAATTTAGAGTTCATAGACTTCAGCTTGAGTGCACACTGATCTGCTTTTTGCCAAAATGATTAAGCTAAAAATGTAATTTCAGTTGTTGTTTATATTTTCTATTCAGCAAGACTGTTTTTTGTGACAACAAATTAGCTACTTAATGTTTTCTTTCCATTTTTGATTATTTGCTTTTAATTCGATTTACTTTGAGTTCGTTTCCAGCGTGGATTTTCTTGTTTCAGTTGGTTTTTACTGTTTTAAAAATCTTTATTACTTCAAGCGTTAGGTCAACACTTTTTAATTTTTACTATATGAAGGGTAATTTGTCAGAGGCAAAATTTAAGGAAAGTCAGTACAGGTATTGCATTAAAAGCACTTAACTATTTGAATGCTGTTGACTTACAGACTTGTAGCTGTTAATCTCCATTTACATGATTATATCTATAGTTAGGTCAAGGTCAAGGTCAAGGTCAAATTTATTTATATAGCACATTTCCAACAGTCTATGCTGCACAAAGTGCTTAACAATAACAATAAAATTAAAAACAACAATGTAATACAATAATAACAATAGAAACAATAAAATAAAGGAATAGAAGCAGTACTAATTAATTTAGATAAATCCAAAATGCTTGGGTCATAATGTGTTAAAAGCCAGAGCATAAAAGTGTGTCTTGAGTAAAGATTTAAATTGCTCAAGAGTTTGAGCAGATCTGATATTAAAGGGGAGACTACTACTAGTTCAAAAACTATAGTTAGATATAGATTTGTCTTTACATATTAATGTGGTGTCTTTTTTTTCCAGGGACTCTTCACCTGGAGGTCAAGCAGATCAGAGCTGCGCCTCTGTTTGGTGGCGTTTCTTACTGCGTCGCTGGCGTCGATTTTGGAGCGCTCCTGTAACGGTGTTCCTCGGCAATGTCATCATGTATTTTGCTTTCCTCTGCCTCTTCACTTACGTGCTGCTGCTAGACTTCCGCCCGCCGCCGCCTCTTGGCCCTGGAGCGCCAGAGATAATGCTCTACTTCTGGGTCTTCACAATGGTGCTGGAGGAACTTCGACAGGTGATCATCTAATCATGCTGGCACCTATATAATGCCAAGAATCAGCATCTTTCTCTCTAGGCAGCGTGACACCTTTTTCGAAGCAGTGGCATTTCTATTAGATGTGTTAGGCTCTGACACATCTGAGTAGGAGGTGATGTGAATCGCTACAGTGAGCTCATTGTCTCAGGGGTTTTAAGCCTTTCGCCTCTTTAGTGAGCCAGGTCAGACAAGCATGATCCCTTATTGCACCGATCCCACTGAGCTCTCTCCCCTTGGGCACAAAAATGCCCAGATGACAAAGTCCTTCACCACTCTATTTTTCAATGTGTAATTCAGACAGAATTATGGTAGAGATTTCCAAAGAACCACACTGCTGCAGGCAACTCTGGCATGCTACCATGCCCAGCAGGGCCCCTGTGCATTCAAAAGGATGGCTCTAAGGTGCATGCCTTTTCCTAAATGAAGATAACGCCACAGGGGCCTTGTTATCATACTTTTTTACGAAAAAAAATAAAACTTCAACAGCCTAGTTCTACCAGCTTTTTAATAAACGAGTAGTCCCAGTCTGCTCCCTCTCATAGAGTTATGCTAGTAGTGCATTTTGCTCATTTTACCATCTTTTACTGCAGATTTATTAAAATAATTCATTGCTGAGTGTAAGCTAGGTTTACCTTAAGTGTTTAAATCTACAGCTTGCACCTGGGGACAGTTGAAAGTATTTGGATGTCATGTAGACATCTGTCGAATGGCACTCAAAGCTTTCGCACAGCAGACTGTGACTTTGTGAAAGCACACATGCTGCCCTCAGCTTATTGACAAACCAACTGTGCCATCAAGGGACCAAGCAGTGGTTCTTAAGGCACGTTCAGGTAACCTGTTCAAGTCACAGGAGAAAAGTCAACCTCACACTCTAAGTATAAAAGACATTTGACAGGACTCACCATTTGGTTGCACTGAAGGTCCCCTCTAAAGCAGCAGAGCTGTGGGGACTCCTGTGCAATGCCACACATTTAGGCATCAAGCTGATGCCAGGTAAAAGACCACTATTAATGATACAAATACCAATGCTTTTAAACTACAAAGGCAGCCTGTGTAGGGGACAGCAGTCTATCATGATTTATGACATGAATCATCATCAATTTGAAAATTCTGAACACATTTTAATGAGCACTAAATCACTGTGATTAGTATTTTCCACAATAATTAGCTAACACAACAAAACACACCTTTCAGCTTTTCAGAGTGAAGTATTGATCTGATACCAATACCAGCATTGGTATCAGTGCTATTGATTTTGGGATCGACCTTTAGCTGTGGGCCCTTGAGGTGTGTTTGAATGTTGTTCTAGTATTTGATCTGAAAGAAGTCAAGACAGGCTCAGATTTTCTGATGAACAGTTTTACAAAAATATTCACATGTAAAAACAAAAGATATATCTCTTTATTAATATTTATGACAACAGAGCTTCTTCACTGATGAAGAGATGAGCATCTTAAAGAAGTTTAAACTCTACGTGGAGGACAACTGGAACAAGTGTGACATGGTTGCCATCTCACTCTTTGTTGTTGGGGTCTCCTGCAGGTAAATCTAAATCTAATGTGAGCACTTAGGCTTTAGTATGTGTCGTGGTGATGATTGTGGCTAAAGCATCAAAATAAGTAAGCAAGTGGTTAAATGAATGAATGGCTGAATGCAAAAAAAGAAAAGTGTTGCTACAGGGTGTGATTTATTTTTTTTCTCTCAGGATGGTGAATGACACCTACGAGGCGGGAAGGACGGTTCTGGCCATTGATTTCATGGTGTTTACTCTGCGTCTCATCCATATCTTTGCCATTCACAAGCAGCTGGGACCCAAGATCATCATTGTGGAAAGAATGGTGACCAAAACAAAATCATGACTTTAAGTTGTGCTCTTGCTAATAGAAGACGCCTAAAAAGAAGATTAAGACGGAGATCTTTTGCTCTCTCTCTCTTTTTTTTTAAACAGATGAAGGATGTCTTCTTCTTCCTGTTTTTCTTGTGTGTCTGGCTCATTGCATACGGAGTTGCCACCCAGGCTCTCCTCCACCCCAATGACCAAAGGATTGACTGGGTGTTTCGCAGAGCGCTGTATCGTCCCTACCTGCACATTTTTGGCCAGATCCCTTTGGAGGAGATAGACAGTACGATACATCCTTTAACTGTTTATCTGTTTGTGAAAAAATGCAAAATACTTTGCCAAGATGTGTAATTAATGTTTTGCTTATGCTTGCCATTGGGGTTGTAATCTGTTTGCCCTAGATCTTTTTGTTCCCCCCCCTTCTAATCTTATCGTATCTTGTTCTTACATTTAATGGAGCGCAGCTGCTCGCATGCCTGAAATGAACTGCACCGATGACTCAGACGAGATTATCGAGGGCCTGCGGCCACCATGTCCCAACGTCTATGCCAACTGGCTGGTCATCCTGCTGCTGGTTATCTACCTCCTCGTCACCAATGTCCTGCTGATGAACCTCCTCATTGCCATGTTCAGGTCAGGGGATGAGAATCCAGGAAAACGTGCATACATTTGCCCGTCTGATCACATGAGATGAGCCAGTGGCTTATTGAAATTATAAAATTAAAAAGAAAAACACACATACACACACACAAACTGGTTTACTTGCTTCTTCCCCTATTTGCAGCTACACATTCCAGGTAGTGCAAGGCAACACAGACATCTTCTGGAAGTTCCAAAGATATAACCTGATCGTGGAATACCACAGCCGTCCAGCACTGGCCCCACCCTTCATCATCATCAGCCACCTCTCTCAGCTCTTCCTCAGCCTAATTAAGCAGCCTGAGTCCAAGCAGGAACGTCTTGGTATGAAGGCTCTATATACACTTTTCCATTAGGGGCTATTAAGCCGTTATTTGAAACAGACATTGAAAGAGTCCTCTGTGGCTTAGGTGGCTAAACAAAAACCAAATCAAACACAGGCAAACACATGGCGGGCTTATCTTTGTCTCTCACCCACCACGTGGAACTTTTTTAGGTTAATTGGTTACTCACTTCCTTACTTTTGTGTGTTGCCAGAGAGGGAGTTGCCGGCGGGGCTGGACCAGAGGCTGATAACATGGGAGACTGTGCAGAAAGAGAATTACCTGGCCAAAGTAGAGCGTCAGCACTGGGAAAGCAGTGAGGAGAGACTCAAGAGCACCTCCTCAAAGTAACGGTCACTTTATAATTCTTTTGCAAAAGTTTGCATGCTATTCTCAAAGCAATTAAGTTAGAAACTCTTGTAGTACCTGCACAGCACCAATCTGTGTCTCTTAAGGTTAAAATGTTCTAAATGACTTTGTTTGGGATCAAGGGTTCAAAGCTTGCTGAAGACTGTCGGTGGATTTAAGGACCAAGAGAGACGACTGGCATCCATGGAAAGTCAGGTAAACGGTATACTAAGCTCAATAGCACCATCCAGGGATGCATTTTCCCAAATCTATTTCAAGTTTAAAGTCTAGTGCAGAAGTAGTTTATAAGTTAAAAATAGTGACCTCTGACCTTTTTTTTCTCCAGGTCAGATATTGCGGAGAAGTGCTGTCCTGGATGGCTGAGTGCTTTGCTCAGAGCACACTCAAATGTGGGAAGGACGCGCCGAGAGTTCCGAGTGAGTCAAAAATCAGCGAGAAGAATGACAGTAATTATGCAAAAAGATTCAAACACAGTGCTTTGTGCCTTTTCGATGTAGTCCAAGCAATAATATGTCATTCTCTAGCGTCTCTTGCAGGCGACAAGACAGATGGCGCCGCTGCAGATGCATCTCAAAGTCAAACAGCGAATGAAGCGAAGCAAGAAGAAAAAACAAAACCGGGACATCCAGGATATGGGGCCAACAAAAAGTTTCCTTACATTGATGAATAAAAGTGATAATGGCTGCATACAGACAGCTGAAGAATATTGAGAGAGATGAAAAATGTTTTTTTAATCCAATAAGGGGAAAATGGACCTTAAATGAGTGAAATGGTGTTTTATTTATAAAAATATTGGGTCCTTTAGAAGAAAACATTAAATGTTCCATTGTGGTAACTGTGTTTAGGAGGACAGCTTTCATTAGCTAAAACATTAATCCAATCAATTATTAGCATTTCATGGAGCGTGACAAAGTTGCATTCACATTTACACTTCAATTATTTAAGGTTACATTAGTTAGGAGCTTGAGTAAAAGGCACTTTGAGTAATCCGTCCATCATTTTTGCTGTTTGTGCCACAGTGATGCCTCAAAAATCAGGATGGGCAGAAGCAGTGACGCTTGAAATGCGGCATTTGGAATGGACAATAAGTTTTTGCTGATTCTGTTCCACACAATGACCTTTCTCACAAGATACCCCCGTGGAGCTTTTGTGTTACTGCTGTGTTTCTCATCAAAATTCTCTGTGTGAGATCCTGGCGTGCCCAAATGTGGCAAATGCATCACTTTCTTTGTAAAACATCTGAAAGGGAATTTTGAACGTTACCACCCCCAAATGCCCTTTGTCCTTCAGTGGAACAGAGAGATTGTTCCTGATTAAAAGGAAAAATGGCCAGGGTTAGTTCACTGCTTGGAATTCAGTTTCACCTGTTCAGGTTCATTTGCATCTATTCTAAGATAAATAGCACCTCCAGTGTTTCCAATATATGCTGTTTACCCAGAATATACAAGGATGGGGGGGGCTCTAGGCTTCCATTGGTTTGGCTTGCCAAGGTGAGTCAGTAGACTAAGCACACATAAGGGGAATGAAAATAAGATTGTGTCTATGCTAATAATTATAAGCGTTTAACTTTCCATTGTTACCTAGTGACCCTTTTTTTGGTTCATGATTCAATATTAGATAACATATGATCAACTGTGGTTACAACAAATTCCCACAACTGATTCTAGGGATTTAAGCCTGTTCACTTAGGTTTTTATAAAATGCTTAATTGTCATTTTCATCCTCTGCTGTTAAGAATATGTAATACATTATCCACATATCCTGTACACACTTGCAGATGACAAGGGGAAAAAAACCCAAAAAAGGCATCTGCTCTTTAAACAATGATTGAAAAATGACACTAGAGGTAAAAAATTAAAAAAACAAAACAAAAAAAAACAAACCCAAAACCAAAAAGTCCTCATGCTGTGTTCTACAACAATAGCAAGAGAGCCTGTGGTGCTGAGCTGATTAGATACAGTTCACATGGTCTTAACAGCGTAGATTTAAAGTACATATCTCTCATAATGATCTAAATGAATTCTGCTGTACATCTATTACAACAAACATTCAGATCTTGAAAAAAAATAAATACTAGCTATTTTAAAAGGTTGTTAATGTCAATTTTTCTTCCACTTGATCACCATCAATTAAAAATGAACTTTACTGAATTACTAAAACACTGGTAGAGGTACCATAAATGTCAGCTTGTGGAATATCCCACACAAAGGAGTGCGACTTTAGTCTCTTGAAGCAAATGCCTCAGGTCCTCTTGGCTGTACAGCTGGTCCCTCACGGTGAAGGATATTGTCAAAACGCGGCGTCACCTCGCAGCGGATGAGCAGAGTGTCGTCTTTAACATAAGCTCTCTGACTCAGCTGAGACAGGTGCATGAAGGTGACATAGCCAAATCCTTTGGGATTGCGCTGAATTGTCGGCTTCTGGAAGGCCTGTAGATCTGGTTTAGTCTCCATTGCCTCCATGTGATGCTGACCCTCAGGGCCCTGGTCTAGGATGGCGAGCCGGATGGTTCCTTGAAATGGCCAGGTAAGCTGCCCATCAAAAGCTCCTTGCATGGTGTGCACAAATAGGGAGATGTAGTTGGAGCAGCGAGGGGCATTGGGGGTCTGCAGGTGTAAGCGCAGGCACAGCTTGTAGCCTGGGCGGCCTGTGTAAAAGCCGGGGCTGTGCTCAACCACTGGCTGGCCCGCTTCTTGGTTCCGCAGGTGGACTGAAAAACCTTTGAGGCGCCAGATGAAGATACCATTGCAATGTTGGGCCTCCAGCTCTTTTACTGTATCCTCCAGCATGGACACTCTACGCCTGAGCTCTGCTAGCTGGCCTGCCTGTGAAAATGAAATGGGAAAATATTTGAGAGAAAATGAAAGAATAGAGGATTTGAGACTAATCTAAAAGAAACTAATCTAAAAGAACAAAAACAAACCAAAACCCCAAAAGGTCAAAATACACTTGGATATCACTTACTTGGGTGTCTTTTAAGATGATGAGTTCACGGAGCTGGTGATCCTGCTTCACCAATCGTCCATCCATCTCACGGAGCCTCTGCTGCATCTCTTCACTAGACGGACCTGGAGCACAACTGCTACTGCAGCTCAGAGCTGCAGCCCCTCTGGGCCCACTACAGGCCGGTACTGATGGTGCAGCTCCTTGATCCTCAGAGGAAAGTGAAGGTCCTAAAGTCCTCAGGGGTTTGGGTGTAGTACCATTGAGGCTAAGGCCACGCAGAAATTCAGCCATGTAGCGCATATGCATCTGTGTGAACTCCTGCATGTGCTGAGCCAGGTTGTGGCGCTGCATCTGCAGAGTCAAACCAGCTTTAAAACTTGTGTCGCAAACTACAAAACCTATTAACCCAGACCTTCCCAAAGTGTGGGGCCCACCCCCTAGGGGGGGGCGCGGTATGAAAAGGGGGAAAAAAACAAAATGCTTGTACACTGCTAGCATGGGGCACCCACACAAACGCAAAGCAGGAGATGAAGCATCGCTGAATATGTTTCCAAACCAACTTCATTCTAAGCCAAAGACTAGAAAATATCCCTTTGGCTTCACCTGCACAAGTGCCAAGGTAGGTCTCCCCTGCAGAATTGGTTTTCCCTTGTTGGGAGCAATCACGGACAAACAGTATCCCACATTTTTGATTTTTAGTTCACAAACACTTCTTGTAATGACTAACTACTCCTGACATTTTGGAGATGTTAGCTCTTTATACAGTAAAGTTACAGCGGGATACAAATAATATCAGGCTGATCCTGCCACAGTTTGTTCCCTCGGTTCAAATCACGGACTAACAGTATCCCACAGTTGTTTATGTTTTTCAACCCATTTTGCACAGAGAGGCATTTTTTGAAAAATGTATTAATAGCAATGTTGAATATTATTACACAGGAAAAAAACAACTACATGCAATAATTACACTGTGACGCCTCTGCCTTTCTAAATAGAGGGACAGTTACTGTGTGTTTATATGTAAGCGTGTAAAACCTGAAGATAGAGACAAAATACTGTTTATCTGCCATTCTGCAATTCATCACATGTAAACAATAACGTGGCGCACAGCTGACGTGAAAAAAGGCACATACCTTTGACGTGATGAACTCTGTATTCCTTGTCCACACGTAAACGCAAAAAAGGAGTTTTAAAAATCTCCGTTTTCGGTGATTCGAAACGCCGTTTACGTGTGGACCAAACAGCTGCGTTTTTTAAAAAAATACCGGTTTAAGTGCGGCATAGCGTAAAAGAGTCAGTAGTTTATTTCCTTACTACCTGTAATTTATTGCAGATTACTTGTATTTGCTTAATTGTTTACTAAATGTTTGAGGTGTGAAATAAACCGCAACGAAGCAAAATATGGGTGTGTGTGGTTGGAGGATGTGTTTATGCCTCCCTCCCATTTTTCTTGTAAAACAAAGGGGGGGCCAGCAAAAAAAAGTTTGGGAACCACTGTATTAACCTATTAAGAATATGCTGTATGAGAGCTGAAAGAATGGAAATCTAGAAATTGATCACCTACCCTTTCTTTACATCCAAAGATGCTAAAGTTACAGGCAATAGGTGCTTTTGGGCAATCTGTGTCACAGTGAGACTCCATCTGGGGGGGAAAAAGAAAAAGAAAAAAAAATCATTAGTAAATTAGCTTCAGTCATATTCAGATTGGGTTTTTTTAAGCATTTCAAAGAGATTGCTTATTGCTGAAAATGACAGACAAAGGGAACAAGGGAACAGGAATAACAGACAACAATTAAAACAGAAGTGGTTCCACTTTCTACTGCTGAAATGGTGACTGTCCTTCTGCACTGTAACATGTGATGTGACCAACTTTGGAATGGTTCCCCATTGCTTAAACAAGAGAGTAGTTCCTGTTTTGATCACCACTTCCTAACCCTTCATTCACCTGAGGCCTCTTCTTCATGGCAGACTCTTAAGAGACTCACCTGGTCTCTGACGAGCTCCAGCTCACAGTACTGACACTTCACACTGGCAAAGGGACACTGTTGCTGATGAAGCTGAAGGAGCAAATGAAAGGAGACTATTAGGAACATTTCCTCACAGACACAGAAAACATCACTGTAACTCTGCTATGAGATTTGTTCTTGAAAAGTGATTCAATGGTACCTCTCTCTCCTCATAAAGAAAGCATGCCACACAGTCTGGACATGACATGGGTCTTTTTTGGCACTGAACAGTTATGTGCTCTTCTAGGTGGCTCTTTTTCACAGACTGCTGGCACTGTGGACAAGGCACAGTGGCAAACTCACAATGCACCAAATGATCCTGGAAGTTAAAACAATAAAATGAAAAAATAAATACAAAAAACATTTAATTTGCTTCTGTAGCAGGAAAGTCTTCATCTTTAATCATATAGCACATTTAAAAGACATCAAGTGTCGGCCAATATAATCAAATAAAAAGAATTAAAATAGATAAGATGAAAACAGAAAACATTGTGAGACATCCATATGTTTGTAAAGATATGTGTACATGCAAATATGCACATACATATACAAAAATGTACATTCAGCACACATACATGAACATAAAATACATGTATACGTATACACATGCAAACATCATCCAGAATAGCTAAAACAGAATAAAAGTGGTGTCAGGAAAGCTGTAACAAGTCCTCTGTCCACACCAGAGAAAGACACAAACTGGGGGATGAACTGTTATTTATGTGCCAAGAAAAAAAAAAGTGTAGTTGTGGTGGTGTTCTCTGAAGTCATTTTATTGTGTTGACAAACTTGTTCTACAGCAATCTCAAAAATGTCTACAAGCCGCTGACACCTGTCCATTTTATGAAGTTGGCAGTCAGCAGTAGTGAGAGGTTTATAATCACGACTGACAAGCAAAAAGCTTTAAAAAACAAACAAACCCAAAACAAAGTGATGATCACAATCATAAATATGTCTTTGAAATGTTCACGTGCAAAGCAACTGCATCTTCAAACACCAGCCTGTTAACATCCCTGACTTCGTGTTCTGTGTTTGGATCAAACATGTCTGTCACAGTTTTTTTTACCTCCAAATGCCGGAGCTCCATCTTGTCGGCACAGCCCAAGTTTGGACAGCGAACAGTTAGCGACAGAATTTCCCTTTTGGCAAAGTTATCAGGGAACAGTTGGTCTTCTGACAACATTTCGTTGTCCACTGGGCACCTCTGTCCCGTATCACTGATTTGCAAGAAGAAGAACAGAAATCGTTGGTCCCTTTTGTCTACTTCACTATTAAAACAAGTACCAGTGAATTTTTGGATCATTCGGAAGCCTTTCATTTCTAAATCATTACTCCGTAATTTGCCAGATTGCCCTGACGCTAATAAAGAACTAACAAGGATTCAAAACTGGCCTGTGAAACTTGTGATGATAAATGAAATAGAAACCTAAGTGCTTATTGCTGATTAAAAAGATGCACAATAGCATACCGAATGGATTTCTCAATGCAGCTCTTGCAGAAGCGGTGACCACAGCGTGTTTGAATGGCGTTCCTCAAAGCCATGAGACAAATGGGGCACTCGTATTTACTCTCCAGCGGTGGATCAAACTCCACATCGTAGCCCTGCAGGGGGGCAGCCTGAAAGCTGCTGCTGCTCATGAAGGCACTAGGGTTCTCTGAAGGGCTAAGAATGGACTCCTGTTCTTTTTCCAGCATAGCCAGAGCACAGTCAGACAGCACTCCACCAACAGCTCCATCATAGCTGTCCTCCTCTAAACTCCCCTTATTGCTTTCACAGCAGGCCATTTGTAGCAGGTGGCAAAGTCTGAAAGAGGTAAGGAAGCGTGAAATAAATTCTAACTCTATTAACTTTAAAATAGACATGTGCATTTTTCTGCTTTTAAAATGGGGATATTTTTACTTCAGCCGCACAAAAGAGATTTTCTTTTTGTATGAAGCTGCTAAAAAGGTTTTGTAGAGTTACACAATGATATGATGTTCAAGAAATATCCTCCTACAACCATCTTTATAATTTCCTCCAATCAACTTCCTCCCTTCTTTTAGAAAAAACCTAAAGTAAATCAGCTCATTTATCATGAAAACAGGATCCTTATGGGAAGGTTTTAGGGTTATTTCTAATGATCTTTTTCCTTAATGAGCAATCAGACAATTTATTTTTCACATAACCACATTACCAATTCATTATTTGGCCTTCCCTTACTCTTCCACATCTAATCTGTGGGTTTGTAAGCAAATCCTATACCAGAAGAGTTAACACACCGCTCCAAAGAGACACACACACACACACACACACACACACACACACACGTGGGAATTCACTTCAGAGAAGATTCTTGGATTCTTGCAACAAACCAAAATAAATAGAGAAATCTTCACAAACCCGAGTATGAACTAATGAAATATGCAGTGTAGTCTTTGGTTGGTTATTAAACTATAATACTGAACAACACATTTTGTAACAACTGGAATTAATCTTAAAGACTCAGTCTTGAATTTAGATTGTAAGATTAGTACCATTTATCGTTACTCCTTATATCCCACCTAGCTTAACAAACCAAATAAGCTAATCATCCTTGACTATATGCAGCTTTGTACATAAAAACATGCCAACCAGACTGTCAACCTGTACAGTGAGTCATGTACAAGCTATGGGCGTCGTAAACCTCCTCCTTGAATCTACTATTCCTCTACATGGGGCGTAACTTTTACTTTTCATTAGTCAGCATCAGTCAGTCGATAAGGTTCTGCCTAAACTCCAACATTCGGTATCAAATCTTTTTTTTACATAAAACACGTTACAGCTAGCTAACAGTCTGCATACAACGACTGGAAGTGTTGGCACTTGACGAACCAGCCATGCCCCTGGATACGGAACTACAAATGCGAATCTGGTTGCAGTCAAAAGTAAAGTATTAAAAGAAAACCACTGACCAAAACAACGGGCAGCGAAATCACGTCCCTCACATCGGTGACAAAAGCGTTATAAGCTCCGAATGTGTCCGTGAACCCAGGTTTTTATTCTCGTAGCACACCCACCTTTGCCTTGAAAACGTCTCGAACTTTTGGTATCTACAGAATTTCCTGTTTTTTTTTCTTTTTCCAAACGTCATTAAATTTTTTTCGCGCTTTGCAGACGCGAGCGCCATCTCCTGGTGGGAGTCTATTGTTGCCGCAGGAAAAAAATAGAAAAAGAAAAAGGGAGACAGAAAAATGGCGGACCTCAGGAAAATCTGCCCGGAGTCTGTGCCCTGCCGTGTCAACTATTCGCGGAAAACGTCGCTACATGGAAAGCTTTTCATCCTCCTGTGTATACTTGCAGTGGACTCCGGAGGGGCTACGACCCACTGGGTTGTCACAGAGGACGGAAAAATTCAGCAGCAAGTATGACAGCTCATTGACCTGCTAACGCTTACGTTTGGCTGCTAGCTTATGAAGCTAACTATTTTTGATAGCACCGACTGTAACGTAACTGTAGTACTTATAATAATTTAACTCGGTGCGACTCATTTGTCAGCTTGAGCAACTGTGGATTTAGAAAGAAAGTTCCGTGGATATTAAAATCCCGCTTGTTTGACCAAGTGGTTTAGCTTTATCAGACTAGTTCCTTTATCTTTTGGTTAACCGGGTCAAGATAAACACTTATATTTTTATGACAGTGTGTATGCCTCCATTGGAAGGCGCTTGCAGATATGCCAGAACGTCAGTGGTGTTTGGTGCCGACTATAGACAGGGACATTACGTATTTATGTGTATTAGGAGCGTCTGACAAGACGAGTGTGCGTGTGTGAAATTAACAATCGGGCGCACTAGTTAAATCAATGACTCTACACTATCTGAATGTTGTCATATCAGAGATTAATCGACTGCCCAAGTCTTTTTCGGCCTAAGTAAGCGAAGCTAAGCACGTCGGTCACGATCGCGCTGTTTGCTTTTCAGGTGGACTCCCCTTTAAATCTGAAACACCCGCACGATGTTGTAATCTTCATGAGGCAAGAAACCCGCGTTAACTACCTCAAGAAGCTGGAGGTGGGTTTACCCATTTATTCTTTCATTCATGCTGGTCATTCGCTGTAGTTTGTGTCACTACATTATTAAATTAAATTCAGTCGTTTAATTTAAGATCCAATTCCAGTTTGTCTTGCCTCACTGCTGCCTTCTTTTCTGATTGTTGAGCAGAAGCAGCTAGTGGCACAGAAGATTCATATTGAGGAGAATGAGGACCGAGATACGGGTTTGGAGCAGAGGCATTACAAGGAGGATGCAGACTGTGTAATGGCTAAGGTACCCCTGGGAGACCTGGATCTGTATGATGGCACTTATGTCTCATTGGAAAGCAAAGACATCAGGTCTGTGCCATTATTTTGCTTTTAAATATGCATTTATGGTTTCTGCTCCTAAATAACTTCACGGCCTCTGTGTGATTATGATGAAATTGTCATCTTTTCTTCTCCTCTTTTCTTTCTAGACCTGAAGACTACATTGATTCCAGGTCTGCTCTACCCCCAGATCTAGAGAAGCCAGACTGCGGAAAAGTGTTTGAACTACCTTATAGTATCCATGCTTTCCAGCACCTCAGGGTGAGTAGACACCAGGCTCATCATCTGTTGTGAGGATATAGGGCCGCTTGATGACAAGTATTATCTGCATGGCTTTTTTATTTTCCAACAAATATTTTGAAATGTTATCCTGAACCTAACCTCTGGAACTGAATTGCAGAGTTGCATGGAATTACATGGCAGTTCTTGTTTAATTAGGCTTTAAGCCAATTTTACACTTAATTACTAGAAATGGACCAACTGACCAGCCAGGGACTGGAATCTGCTGTTTTCCGACATGCTCATCCCAGATCAGCCAGTCTGTCTCATGTGGGTCTGATTATGAGCCGGTCTGTTACACAGATGGGTAACGTGAGCAAGTAGTCATGCCCACACTTGCAGCCTTGTGCTAACATGTCTTTAACTAGAATTTATTTACTGTGAGTGAAGACGCAGAGTTTGCTAAAATAAACAACAGACCTTATTAGACACTTAAAACCCCCTCGCCCAGCTGTACTTAAACATTTTAAAGAAGCTAACAAAGGCAAAGAGGCTAAAGTTAAAGCCATCGAGAGCTCAGAGCCAGCCAGCCACAAGGCAGCAGCCTCAGTATGAGCAAAAGATCATAGGAGCTATGAGGGAAACTATGCTGATGAGTAAAAAGGTTCAAGGTCCTGGTGATTTTCTAAGCACAGTAGAAAACAATGTAACTAAATGGCATTAGATTTGTTATATATATTTATTGCAGCTGCTTTTGTTTGGGTAGGTCAACCTTGCCAGGTATAAGTGGATGTATAGCAGCTCGTTTAAGTTAATCATTTATGCCTCTTTACAATAACTGAGCAACTTTCATTTGTGTCATTGAGAGAAGATCCTGTAACTTGGTCTGGGGGAAATTGTAAAGTTTAATCATGTCTTTTATGATAATAACATTTTTCTGAAGAATAATTGATTTTTGCTCGTATATGCTGCCACTTTTAGTTCTTAGAAAGAAAATCTAAATCAGCAACAATCGTTTTCGGCAGGCCACGCTTAGAATAAAATTGGTATTGGCCAAGAAAATTGCATCAAGTGCATTTCTGTTAATTACCACTGTGCCATCTAATACAGTTCAGTATAACATAACATACCTACAGTTTTGGATTTTGTTAATATGAAAACGGTGATTATTTATTTTTATGTTATAGGAGGTGCTGATGCCACTGTTGTTTGTTTGTTTTAAACCAACCCTTTGTTGCAGTTTATCTACAAACTTACTTGTATGATGTTTGAATTTAAATTTCTCCTTGAATCCAATGTCAAGAAATTTATCATTAATTAGGTACACACCGATCCACGTTTTTCTAGTTCCAATACTATTCCCATACATTGGAAAAGAGGATTTGTACTGATACCAGTGTTAAATTAATAAGCTGTATTCCACACTGCAAAGAGTAGACTAGGAGTCCTTTTTTATGCGTAAGGAGACGGTAGTAAATGAATAAGAAACAACAGGACCAATTTAAATGACATGGAAAACATGTATTTATATTCAATCTGTCTATTTTCTTAACTACTTTTCCAATTCATTGTCGTGGAGTGGATGTAGGTTATCCCATTTGTGAGAGAGCAAAAGACAGGGTACAGCTTGGCCAGTCCATCACAGGGAGACTGATAATCATTCACATCACGTTAATCACCACTGTCCTGTACCCGAATATGAAAACTTCACACAGAAAGGCCTCATCCGGCTGGCGGATTCGGGCCCCCAAAAATCGACAGTGTGCCTTATGTATAGGGATGGGTACTGGTGTCGTTCTGACATAAACGGTAGTAACCAGACCGAAAAGCAGCGCACATTTCGGTGCTTTATTTCGGTGCTTTTTTTTCCTGAGCTGTGATACACTTTTAGCCAATCGTTTTACGTTTCCGAGGATAGTAGGCGGGGCCAGGTACGTACGTTCTGTTAGCGCAGAGCTACAGATTAAAAATGTCCAAGGCGAAGCGGTTAAAAGTCTGGCTGTACTTCACAGCAAAATATGCAAACTCAGCAGCAACAAGTGCTTTAAGCTGATACTGTGATACTGTCAAAGGAGGTAACACCTCGAATCTCATGAAACACCTGGCGACGCATAGCGTTTTTTTAAAAGCCGAGAAATGCGCCGTATTTGATGGCAGCAGCAGCCGTTCTTCTCTGCGTGAGTAGCTTAATGTTGTTCTTGTGTGATTTACGCTGAGTAGGCTAACCACGTTATTACATTAATGCATGTAAGGTGAACTAGCAAACATCATCATAGCTACATGCGGCTGTCTTCTTGTTTGATGGCAGATACTCTCTTCACCCTGGCCAAAAAGGCTAAAATGACCAAAGAAGAAGTGGAAAACAGTTAAACATGAGAGGTTTTTGGACAAAGTTTGTGTTTTTTCCATTGATCAAGCACTGCTTCCAGCCAAGAGTGATACCATATATGCCCCATAGCTGCAGAAAAGGCTAACATTGTTATCTTTTTACAAAAAAACCAGCTGAACATGAGAGGTTTTTGGACAAAGTTTGTGTTCTCCATTCTTTAAGCACCGGTTTGAGCACCGTTTGAGCACTGGCACCGTTTCAAAAGTACCGATTTGGCACCGGTATCGGATAAAACCTAAACGATACCCATCCCTACTTATGTATGAATTCTGGTTGTGCTTACTCACCTCGAATCAATTTTATGTGGTACACGGCGTGCAGAAATCTGTTCAAAAATGTTTTAGTACGACTTTGGTAGACTATGAAGGCGCACTGCTTGATGGATTGCCGGAGCATTACAGCTGCCGTAGTCAGGAGCCCTGCGGAGTAATCTGGGTCCAAAACTCCCTCTGCTTCAGGTCCCAAAGTCAAACAAACACTGCGGCATCACTGAGCGTTAAAAACTGTCTAAATTATTTTATCTTTAATAAAATGATCAGTGTTGATATAGCATGTTCTGACTGAGAGACTTCTCAAAAAATTAAAACGTACAGCTCTGCTATCACTTCCAACATAAATGAAGACAGAAAACTAAACAGCAGTGACGTTTTGTAGGGTTACTGAAGTCAGACTAGCTGGTATATAATGATGTGCTACGTGATTGCTAGCAAAAGTTAGCATAACATTAGCACAGTGAAGCTAAAGGACGAACGCTAACTTTTTTCCACTCGATAAAAGTTAACGTGAGGGTTTCTGGTGGTTAGAGACAAATGCAATTGCATGGCAGGATGCTGTAAACGGACCAAACTTCACTCAGGAGAACAACTGAGATAATCCATCCATAATATGAGGTTAGTCATTAATATTATACTGCAACAACGTGGGAAGAGCAGCTGCGAGAGAATTCAGCATTAATGAATCAATGGTACGGAAGTGGAGGTAGTGCAGTTTTGGGCTTTCCCCATGTCACTACCCGATCTGTACCGGAAACCCGATCGGTACCACGCATATGCGAAAGGTGTCTACTTCCGGCCGTTACGGGTCAGAGTATCTGTTAAGATGTTAACAATAATAATTATCTCTTAAAATGGTTGCAATAATGAAACATTTCAAT